TCTGCGAAACTTCAGCTTCCGGTATCTGTACAACACCTGGTCGGCTGACACCGACCTACTACGGTCAAATGGCGGGCGCAGTGAATGTAAGCTTTGGGTTGTATAAGTATGGCCCGTACTTGGTGAGCTTGGAAGACTGCTCTTTCGTGCGGCAGGCATTCACGGACATACACAACGGCTATTGCCCTGATTTGCGTCGATATACGGAGTGGATCTATGTTGGGTTGGTTACGGTGTCTGCTGCGGTGATGCTGTCGTTGATTTTCTGGGTTATCTACGCACGAGAGCGGCGGCATCGTGTGTATACAAAGAGCCATATGGCGTATCAACGCCAAAGATAACAAACAAAACTGTTGTAATGGATGAATGTTTGAATTTTTTATTTTGTATTCAATGAAATTTTGATTTATTAATTGAGGATTACTATCTCTTAATCATTATTAAACTTAGATTAATCTTTAATTAAAGTGTTTTTGGGATTTAAAGTTGGATTCCCTACCTTTTATTTAATCATCTTCCAAAGCACTTACCCACATTCCTAAATTGTAGCATTCATTCCTCTATACAATTCTATAGGGATATTATCTACCAAGGTTGCTTGTCATCGTTTTCTCCAAGATTTTTTTAATCGATTATATTCATGTAACAATTCAAGCTCACCGCTAATAAATATTGATGTTTCCACACTCAAGAATGTTTAGTTATCTTCTTTAATTGATGTGGGAAATTCCCCTATAAAAGTACCACGTCATCTAATTTAGGGAATGATCATAGGTTTATAATAAAAAATACTATCTCCATTGTTATGAGGTCTCTTGGGAAGCCCAAAGCAAAGGCCATGAGAGCTCATGTTCAAAATGGACAATATCATATCATTGTGGAGGTTCGTGTTCGTCTAACACTCCTTTTGGGGACACTTTATGCTCAAAGTGGACAATATCATACCATTGTGGAGAGCGTGTTTATCTAACACTCCTTTGGGGACGTTTATGCTCAAAGTGGACACTATTATACCATTCTGAAGAGTCGTGTTCGTCTAACACCCCTTTGAAGCCAGTGTCCTCGTCGACACTCATTATTCTCTTCAATCTATGTGAGATCTCACAATTCACCCCCCTTTAGGGCTCAATGTCCTCATTCGCACATTGGCCGATGTCTAGCTTTGATACCATTTGTAACCGCCTAAGCTCATCACAGTAGATATTCTTTTATTCACGCTGTGAGACAAAAACAAGTTAAAAAAATGGAGGCATGTGAGATTGGGATAGAGATTCGTCCAGTTTAGGTACCACACTCATTCGAAATGGGTCCCACGTGTTAAATTGACATAGGTATTTATCATTAAATTGGATCATTATTAAACATCAATTAATCTAAAATTTGTGTTTACATTTAATTTAGATATTAGATTAAATGAAATTTGAGCGGAAGTTTGAATTTTAGTTGGACGTTTTGTAATTGAAGAAAAAATAACCAATGTCTCAAAACTAAGCATCTCTTAGTCCCATAATTTTCATCATTTCAGTTAATTTTTCATAGAAATTCGAGGGGTAATAAGGTAATTACAGTTCAGACTCATATATAAAAATAGGGTAAAGAAAAAGAAGGAACCTCAAACTCAATACAGCAATCTTGTTCCACAAGTTTCCCTCACAAAAAGGATAATCAATTCACGAAATCTTTTGAACTCTTGAATTCAATGGCCTCAAAATCTGGATCCTCCAATCCCAAACTGCAGAGCATCGGCGGTTCACGCAAGTGCCTCTGTTCTCCCACCACCCATCCTGGCTCTTTCCGCTGCAGTATTCATCGGAACCGCCGCAAGGTCTCCGCTAGGTCATCGTCCTCATCCATTGCTGCCATTACCACTGCTCAATTGAAGCTTGCGATGTTGGCGAAGGCGAATGCGTTGAGGTCATTTCTTCAGCAGATCATCAATCCCTCCAGTAAAGATCTTCAGCGGCGGAGGAATTTTCGTCCCAAACCTTCCAGGTTTTGCTTGATGAACAATCATGGAACTGGATTGGCTGTTTCTTAAATCGAATTAAGTTTCCTATTTCTGGATGTTCGTTCTCTGAATTTCGTTTTTCTCGATTTTTCCGTGTGAGTTTCTGTAGGTCTAGCGTATGTGTACAGATCCAACAGGATATTGTCTTAGTTCAGTTCGATCTTGATGATTGAACAAGTCTTTCTTGAAATATAATTAGATTTTTGTACCGGTTTTTTTTTTTTTTTTCCTCTGTTTCTTCTGCTCTGATTCCGGAACTGGAAAATGCAAGCGAAATCGCCATGATCGGGAGATGATTCGTGACATCCAGAAGCGTTCTGTTTATCAAGAACAATGTTCATAGAAATTCTTCAATTTCCTTTTCCTTTTCCTTTTTTTTTTTTCTGGGAATCATTCTGTTTTTGAGAGATAATTTGCAGTGTATGGTTGGTTTGAATGTATCTTCAGTTGAATCTACGCTATAGCGAGATTTTCTGAAATCGAAACAGTAAAGGCTATCATAATTATGAATAAAATTATAATTTGTATTGTTAAGTAATATTAAATTCACATCTAAATTACTTAAGCTTTAAGCAAGAATTTTCCATTGCTCACAAGTTTATTGTTTTTTTATTGTTCCAGTCATTAAATTTATGAAATTCAAAATTAATATCTTTTTTGCTTTATTACCTACTTTTTTTTAATATAAAAAAAAACCCTGCCAAATTTTGAAAATTAATTTTTTTTAAAACAAAAAGTAATTTTTTTTATCAAATATTAAAATTAATTTTCCTTTTTAGAAGTTTATATAAAATATATCAAATTTATTTTGTGAGAATTCTTTTTTTTAATCATTTTTATTAATTTTATAAAATATGTGAAATAAACGTTAAAATTGATTTTTCCTTCTTACAAATTTCTGGTCATTTATATTTTTTCCTACAAAAATTTAAAGTTATAAATAAGATAATTATTTATTTGCATTTTTAAAAAACAAAATTAAGTAAAAAAATGTCTAAAAAATCATAAATTAATTATTAGTGACATTACTTTGCAAATTTAATATACATTAAAAAAGGTTATTTTCAAGTATCTTTTTTAATTATATTATGTCTCATCTTGAATAATTGAATTATAATAATTATTAAAAGACATAACGGAGAATATTCTGATAATGACAAATTTATTTCAATATATAATTTTTTATTAAAAGATTCATTATTCCAAAAAAAATATCCCATAAAGTTTGTTTTTTTTTTTTTTTTTTTTTGTATAATTAAAAATATATAATTAAGTTTAAATTCAACTATTTAACTTTGAATTATTCAAAACCTAACTATAAATAAAATACATTTTACCCTTTATTNGGTTGATTTTATGAGCATTAGATAACTTTAACCATGTTTAATTAAGATTAAGACTTTGTACTAATTTAATCGGTTCATTATGATATGGCAAATCCTAATCACACTAACCATTAAATTAATTCCTACAAAATTAAACCAATCTTTTAATATAATAAATTATTCTTAAACATGATCCAATCTAAATATATCACTACTTTATAATTATATTATAATATATATATTTTAAAGAATAATTGTGACACCCATGATTTTGTGATTTTGTGGTTGAGTGGTTGAATTTGTTTCATTACAAGACGGCAAAAATATTTTGTTAGAATATGATTCTCGAGAACTTTTCTACATAAAATCTTCATCCCGATTCATTCTCACCTCGTGAAGATTTCCAATTGGAGGTTAAAATGTACGCAAAGACTTTTTCACATGCATTTGGCAGGTTAAAGTAATAGTAATTATAGCGATGAATGTTTCTTTCTCCAAAAAAAAAAAAAAAAAAAAAAGTAAATGCATAGTGATGATATGCTAAAATGGAAGGTGCCAACTCCCATAACATCACCAGCCTGTGACCTTTAATTTATTTTGGTCTCTCAACATTAAATTGAATGGGATATATGGTGGGTCCTTTTATTATTATTATTATTATTTAAAATAATAAAAGTGAAATAAGATTTAAATGTTAATATAGAAAATTTTACGAAAATATAGATATCGATTGATATTTTTTTAAAATTATAAAAATAAAAAAAAATTTCATATGTTTTTAATTTTTTTATAAAATTTAATTATTTCATTATAATATAATAAAAATGTGGACATAAAATTAGTAGGATGGTAGATTTAATTATATTTGTAGAATGGGCGATAAAATAAAATAGGGTGGGGAGAGGGGTAAAAACAAAATAATGAAAGTTTAAAGAATCCACGTGTCGGTTAGGGAATGCCTGCGTTCAATATTTGCCATTTGACGCAGAAATTTTCAAGCTACGGTCGCCGCACGCACTCTCAGGCTCAGCCACTCGTCTATTTATTATTTATTTTTTAAATTTTATTTGATAATTATAATTTTCATAAATATATATATAATTTTCATAAATTTTATTTTATACCACATTTACATTTAATTCTTATTATAAAAATAGAAAAATATTTCCGAGGAACTCAAAATTATTTTATTTTTATTTGTTTATTTTATTTTCCTTCGATTATTAAAAAAAAAGAAATCGGAATGCTAAAATCGGCCGGGAAGGGATGTGGGGTACGTGGAATTCAGACGGTCAGTGTCAGTCGGCAGGTCTTATTACGTGGCACTTGTTTAGCCTACCTGGTAACTGTCAGGCATTTTGTCGTTTTTTTTTTAATTAACAATATTCATCGAATTATAATTAAATAATATTTCGCGTATAATTCGTGTCACAATACGGAATTAACCGCTATTAAAGAATGTGCTAATTACAGTAAGGACAGAATCTTCCACTAAAATAACTGAGTTTTATTTTATTTTATTTTATTTTATTTTATTTTATTCGGTGAGATATTAAAATCTCTAAAAGTGTAGGGGTATATTTGCAAAGCGGGAAATTCCCCAGCCAAATTCGTAAAAATATCGCGATAAATTGGGGCTGATCTTTCCTATAAATACATGGCTCGAGTAAAGCTAGGTTTGCCAGTTTGAAGAGCCAAACACGGGCTTGGTAAAAACCCTTCTTCTCTTTTTTATCGTGCTCTCTCTGTTTCTGGAGACTGTAACTTCAATGGCGGTTTCTTCTAGAAAATCGAGCGGGCCTGCTATGAGGTCTCTCTCACCGTCTGGGAGATTCTGTGGCTTCTATTCTTCTTCTTCTTCTTCTTCTTCTTCGTCTTCTTCCTCATCGGCGTTTGCGTCCTCCACATCAAGCTTTTCCACTGAAAACCCTACTTCCTTTTTCCGTAGATCTCTGTCTCCGTCTCGTGTTCATCTACAAGGTTCTTCTTCTACGTCGGCGTCGTCCGTGAGATTTGCACTGGACCGGTCTATTTCTCCGAATCGGCATATCTCTGTTTTGACTCGTGGCAGTGGGAATCAAGTAGTGAAGAGGCAGAGCAACCAGAAGAGGACCTGCTTGTGCTCGCCGACCACGCATCCTGGTTCGTTTCGGTGTAGTCTCCATAAAGGTGTTCCGTCGCAGCCTACGACTCCTTACTCGTCTAATCGGCTCAACGCGCGGAGATCGGCGATGACGAACTCTTTGGTTAGAATCGGAGGAGTTGAAGGCGATTTAGTGAGGCGGGCCCTGGCGTCTCTCATCCGACCTTCGTCTCACAGTCAAAGGCGTCGAGCGGATTTCTGTCCGCGACCGAGCCGGCTTTCAATCATGTCGAAAGCCGATGATCTGTGATGGAAAATTGGGTACGTTGGCCAATAACCTCTGGTTTATTAATCTTTTTATCTCTTCTCTGAGCTTTCAACGACGAAGACGGTGGATTCCGACCACAGGTTCGACGGAAGTGATGGATCTTAGCGCAGGGATACAGAGTTGGAGGTGAAGTATGGGAATCGAATCTGGTTGCCTCTTCAGTGTACCTCGCTTCACGGAGTTGAACTAAAGAACCTATATAACTTCGTGTGTATGCATAGCATAAATATATATGGAAGTAAATACAGTTGCCGCGATATTGATAACAATTCGTGGAACTTTTGAACCCTAATTTTTCACCAATTTCAAAATGAAACATAATCAAACCCTAACTGGTTGTAATTTCGAACTGTACAGGGCTTCTAATTCGAAAAGGAATGATTCAAAATTATTTGCGCCTGCTAATCGCTGAAATCAGTTCATCGTTATCCATATTCCATACGATTCAAATTGTTTCCAGAACACCTGTGTTTGTTATTTTGTTCGACGTACACGTCTCCTTCCTTCTGCTGTCGCCTCCATTCATGGTGGCCGTGAAATTGAAGCCGGTAATGTGCGCACTCATGCTTGCCGTACTCCGTTTTTTCAATGGGATGATTTCTTTAAGGTGATTCAATCTCCATCTTTCTTCTTCCTATTTCCCTTGGTTCTCTGAGTTAGATGTTTGTAATTTCTGTTTGTTCTGTTTACAGATGCATTTGAAGGTTGAATCCTAAGAGCTCTGATTTTGAACTGTGAATTTTGCGATCTGAAAGTAAATTTAGGAGGAGATGATTCAAATTTGGATGAAGTTATGAACTAAGACAGACGATGGAATTCTTGATAGCAACTGAACAATTATAATTGGAATTAATTGGAAACAAATCCTGGAATGCAAAAAGGTCAGTAAATAACATCAGAGTTGAGATGATGTTAGAATGGAATAGAATAGAATCGAATGAAACACTGAATAGTAGGGTAATTCGGTGGTGCGGTGGAGTGGATGGTTGACCTGTCAAGTCTCAAATGGGTGGAAGGAACCGACTGCTATCTGCCTATGAAAAACCAATCCGAATCCCTATTGATTGTTCATGAAACTATTCAATGGAAGACTGCCCCTTTGAGAGATGAAGAGCTGCCTGGAAACTATGAAGGGATGCTTAAAAAGTGAACAGAAATTCTGATTGAGATGGAGTTTCATGTTGACCGGGCTAATTTAGTGATGAATTTATGAATTTATAAGCAAGAATACTATTTCGGTTGGGTCTCCTCCGTTGGTATGAAGCTTTTTGATAAAGCTCAAAGTATGAGAGTTTATATTCAAGAAAGCTCAAAGTAAAACCATATGAATCCTTTTGAGGAAGCTCGAGCTTATACTTAAAGAAAGTTAAAAAGTTCAAATAAAACCATAAAAGTTTATACTTCAGAAAATTTAAAGTAAAACTACGAGAGTTTATATTCAAGAATGCTCGAACTAAACCCAGTAAAACCTTTTGTGGAGATGGTATACTTGTAACAAGGATTAGAAAAATTGGTTCTGGCAGGGATTCTGAGTATTTGGTCTCACCTCTCGAAACGAGTGGAATAAGAAATCAAACTTTTGGCCTCTCAAACGTAAGACTAGGAGGTGGAAAAGAAAAGAAGGAACACACAAAAGAGGATAAGACGATAATGAAGTGAGTAAGTGGCGGTCTTCTCTTGTCGCATTATCATCATCGAGAATCCCACTTTTACCATTTCTGTATGTTCTTCCTTCTCATCTTTTTAAACATGCAAAATTAAACGTATAGTTAGCCATATGATGTTGGTCATCTGTAAATCGTTCCACTCACGCCACGCTTCTTAGTTTTTTTTGTTTGCTTAGGTTGCGTGTCTCCAATTAATTATCTTAGCAGCCATAATAATGATAACTATATCAACAATTTAAGGCTAAACATGTTTTTTAGGAACTGTATATTATTTTATGGTAGACATTACGAAGTTATCTGATTTTTGTTGTGATCATTTTGAATTGTAACAGGTGGGCAGTGAAGGACCAGGAAGTTCACCCACCCATCACCATTCTTATGAGGTATGAGTTTATAATATTTATATCTGGAAAGTTATGCACATTCGCTCCATCTTTGTGAAGTCTTTATCTTCCTTTCTTATTTCTTGTAGACCTCAACCCCACACACATTACGCGTCCGACACTGACCCTCTTCAATTCTCCTTTTCATGTTTCTAGTACCAAAATTCCCACCAAAAAGCCACCCAATCTCAATCCTGTGTCCCAACGTTCACTCCACTCACACACACACACACACACACCGATTGCGACAACAAAAAAAGAACCCATGAAATTATGGGACTCCCGAAATCTGTTTGGTTCACTCACTCTGCTCTGAAACTAAAACCCCACTTGGAGAGACTTTTCAAGGGCTTTGGGCCGTATATTTGGGCTTTAATTGTCCGCTTTTTAGTGGGCCTTTAATCCTTTGGTCCAATTTTCAAGCCCATTCTATAGTGCATGTAGTCCCAACACACCTTTTGGACACCTGAAAATTCTAGCATAATTGATATAAAAATATAACAAAACTAGTAACTAAGAAGGTAACATAAACATTTTAAACATACCCACAAAAATCACCATAGATATCCATAACCTTTTAGTTGAGTCAGAAAATATATACTTTAAACTTTGTTAAACGAACACAACTCTCCACAATGATATGATATTGTCCACTTCGACATAAGCTCTCATTGCTTTGCTTTGAACTTCCCAAAAGGCCTCATGCCAATGGGGAGAGTATTATTTTATTATAAACCCATGATCATTCCCTAAATTAGCCGATGAGCCGATGTAGACTTTCGTTATTCAACAAACTTGTCGGACAGAAAAAACACACATAAAACTATATCATGACTTGTGTAAATAGTTGCCTCATTACAAAATTTCAAAGGACAACGTTGTTTTAGTTGCATTGGCATTTAAATCAAATGCACATATCACATAAAAACAACCGGAAGATAAATAAAGGGATTCAAGTGGGCTTCATGTCGTAGAACAATGAAACCCACAATGAGTGGTAATCATCGTCGGTTTCCATCCTCTCTCTATTGCAACGACAGCAAATTCTTGGGCTTCCATCTCGTCCATCCAGCGGCTCAGATACTCTTGGGCTCCGGCTCGGCGGTATCAGCCTCATCATTCTCCCCTGCGGCGGTCCATTCATCTTTGGGCTTCTACTCGAGGCCCAATCAGATACTCTCCCATCCAGAGGCCCAGATAATCTTGGGCTTCTTGGAACCATGGGTCTCTCTTTCCTATCCAACGGCCCAGATAGCTTTAGGCTTTTACTGTTCGTCATTAACTTCTCGTGCGTTCTCCCGTCCAACGGCCCGGACAGCGACACGTGTTTACTGCGTCGTTTCGGCGGCTTGAGCACCTCCTTAACCTCCTGTTTCCGGCTGAGATCCTCGCTGTAGGTAATCGGCTCTGGGGAAATCACCGCCGCGTCTTCCCGGAAAATCCCCTTCTCCGACTTGGCGTTGGTGAAAATTAGCTTTCTGAGGCAGTTCCGGAGGCAGTTCTTGGTCTTGGCTAAAGCGGAAAGGAGCAGTTTCTTTTGGGTGGCTTCTTCTCTGTCGCATTTGGCGAGTTTCAGAATCTCGAGCCTGTGTTTGGCGATGGAGACTCCGATTCTCTGGAGAAAATCGTGGTTGAAACGAGGAATGTCTTCAGGTTTGAGGCCATTTCGGGCGAAAACGAGGCCGTATTCGTAAGTATGAAGTGGGTCGAGGCCGGTTCTTGAGAGCCAAGAGAACCAGTCCATTGGAGGTGGCCGACCAAGCTGAGCAATGCTTTAGAGTTTGGAAATTGCGACATATATAGCGAGAGAGAGAGAGAGAGAGAGAGAGAGAGAGGAGGAGAGTGCAAAATAAAAAAAGAAAATAATAATAATAATAATAATAATTAAATGCGACCGGCTCCGCTCTTTTATTCTTGTCAATTATACATACATAAAATAATAATTATCTTAAAATTTTATAAATAAATTTATATATTTATATATAATAGAGTAATTTTTTTTGAATTTATTACCTGAAAGGGTAAAAAAAATTGATGGTAAAATTAAATGGACCACAACAATAATTTCAGATGAGAGTGAGGGAAAGAGAGGGATATGGTGTAAAGATCCGTTGCTTTCGGTATGGATCAATTATTTATGTAATTTTGGAAGTATTTTGAACGTTGGATTACCATTATGTCCTCTTTAATATTTTTTAAATTTCACAACAGTTTTGTTTGTTTGTTTTTTGTGAAAAAACAATAACATTTCATAATAATTACTTTTTAGAATTTCTTTTAGCTTTTTACTACGATGGTTTAAGACGATTATTTTATTTATTTATTATTATTATGTAAGGTTGAATGAAAAACTGGTTGAAAATGGAGATGTTATTTATAGAGAACATGGGTCGAGGGATGCCGTCCAATCAAAAGTGGCATGGATAGGTACAAGTTTTGGGGCATTAGGGGTCTAAGTCGTAGTTCTGTTTTTGGTAGGGTAGGGGGTTGCATGTGGATAGATTCACGAGAAAGGAATGGGTTGGATGTGTTCAATACAGTTTGGTTACTATGTAGGATGAAGAAGTCAGAGACTTGTTATTATTGGAGGGATGCCATATTCAATTCAATGCTTCTTTCTATAGTTGGAACTTTAATTCACTTTACACACAATAAAGACCTAACCCTTTCTTACACTCCAATACTAATTCAAAACCCACTTTTCCTTCCAATCTCTCTCTATCTTCTACTTATTCATTACTCAAATCATCAAAGTTTTCAACTCCAATTTATTGCCTTTTTTGTGTGTTCAATTTTTTCGGAAAAAGATATGATAAGTAATACAATACAAAAGATTTTTGATCAATATTTGATTTGTTGTGGGGGAGAGTGTGTTATGATCTGCGATCGCTCGCCTATCTCGTGGGAGAGTCTGTTCTATTGTGGTCGATTGTTGGCCGTCAATGCATATGATTGATTGATTCAACATCGATGAGCCTAGAAAAGAGAGTTGAGGGTTGGAACGAGCGTATAACAAGAGTTCTTGAAATTTCTTGGGAAAATCCTTCTAATAGTGGGCGCTCGTGAATTATAGTTAAGTTTTTTTTTTTTGGAAACGAAGTGTACCGTTTACCATTCAAAAGATACTTCAACTTAGGGTATGAGATGTTTAGTAAATAATATTTTGATCCCTAGAGTAAATTGTTTTAATTACCATAACAAAATGTTCCCTATGTTCTTATTGTATATTTCCTATAATGTAGAGCCAATCACGGAAAATAATTCATGGGTAGTTAGGAAAAGTTAAATATTTTGAGATTTGATTAATACAACTTATTAAATTCAGTAACCAACTACCACATTGCTGATATTAAGGGCATAGATGCTGCAAATGTTGGGAGGTTTTTGTGGCTCTACAATGCCCACTTTGAAATTATTAAATTCTTAATTATACACTTTCAAAATATATAAAGACAAAACAACCACTTACATAGAGCCTTGCAATAAAGATATAAAACCTACTCCCACAAAAGTTTAAAAAACATTTAGATTAATATAATGCTACAAAAGCTTTCTTCATCGAAGTCAAAATTTGAGTCTCTTAACTTTGTCCCTTGCACTTGACTCTTGGATTGTTTAGTATACCTTTGAGTTTTAGTAGGGTGGAAAAGTCTATAGAATCGTAGAAATATAGGTATTTGTTGACTTGGTCGGGTGATGGAAAAGTACAAAAGGTTGATCTATAAAAAAAACTATACTATCTTAATATGGAAGATATAGATTTTTTTTGGTATGACAAGGGTCAAAGATTTGAATCACTAACCTAGAGGAGTGCATATTAAACTTATTTTGATAGAAAGATAAAGATCTAAAACTATCATCTAATCAGAAATTATTCAAGAGAATAAATTTATACCTTGAAAGTTATACCGTTGTATCCATATTTTCGACCATAAATCTTGTAGAGCTTGTACCAAGAGGTAGTGTGGTAGGGATAAATGAATGCACTGAAAAAGAAAAAACAAGGAGGGGTGAAAGAAAGCTGCTTGCTTTTGCATCTAAAACATATTATAAATGCAAACCTAATAAATAACTAATAGGTGATTGAATTAATGAAATCCTAATACATATAATAGACCCAGAAAATAATTGATGTTAGGGAGATGGTGGTTGAATCATAGCCTCAGCCTATGATTTCGCCATTGAAACATGAAAGACCACTTGGGTATTGCCAGAAGGTTGGGAACCATTAAATTTTGCTTTACAAGAAGGGAAGGCACATGCTTTGGAAAAAGATGTAGTGGAGATTGTGGACTGAACAGAGCACAAATGAAGCATAGACATCAAGTGGGTACTAGTGGTAAGAATGGTTGCATACCCATTTGAGAACTGTACCTAAAATCAAATAATAACAAAAGAAATTTGGATCTCTCTGAGATCCATACGATGTTATTGACTCAAATAATAGTCTCTCAATCGTGGTTATTGTGGAAGTGTTGTAAATGTCTCAATAAAAGCAAGCTATGAGTTTACCAATTCAAACTCCCTGCTTTTCCCCTCCAATAAGTTGAATCATTGTCCAATACAATAAATCCCATAAACGACTGCCATATCAGTAGCTTTCAGGTTGACCTATATTCAGATAGGATCAAAGCATATGAAATTCCACATGGGAGTTGTTCGTCGTGGGGCCTGAAAATCGGTGGATTGATCTCCATAGCAACTGTATATTTGAATTCGAGAATAGAATCCAAATCTACAGAGGAATGGCTTCTTTTGTAAGGTTAGTTTGGTTGTTAAAACTTCTACGATATAAATATTCACATTACTCTTCGGATTCATTTTTTGGGTATTTGACGTCTGTAACCATGACAATCTCGTCTTCTAAGTCTTCACTCGACTCTGTATCCTTGTAATCATCAGGGAGCACGTTGCAGTTAATGGTGTACCACACTGGTCTCTCTTCCTGGAATAACCTGCCCAGTCAAAACAAAATGATCGGACAAGAGATAGAATAGAAACTATATATACCAATCACATTGACATCTTGATGTGAACTCTTTTAAGTTGGGATAACTTCCATTCCTTTTAAGTTCCTATCCTAGTTTCCTATCTCCTGTTGATTGGCTCGTAACAATTATATAGCTACTCAATTGACACAGGTTGTTCTTTAAAGCGGTTCAATTCCAATAGCAGGGTTCTCGTTTTCTTGGCTCCCCATTACAAACTTATGCCAGTAACACTTGATTTTGTCGCTATATTTCAGCTAAAAATGAGCAAAATGGATGTGTTTGTATAGATAAAAAGAGGAGGAGGAGAGATTTACAGATGCTTGCAAAGCGTCGGGCATCGCACTGTAAGGGCATATTTGCATGTTGATAGTTCTGTGATAGAGTCAATCATCGCTCTTGGCTCCGAGCAAACAAATCTAACCTGCAAGGTAATTAGAAACCAATATCGTTGATGGGAAAAAAAGGAGAAAAAAAAGTGACAAGGTAAATCATTAATTACTTTGTACCTCAGTTTCTCGTGGTCGATTTGTGAGATCACACATGGTTCCATTTGTGTAATGATGAGCATGATACCTGAGTGAGTCGGGTAGATCAGTAATCATTTTAGAAATTGAGATTAGTTGTTTAGTTATCAACTAATAGATCTCATATCTATCACTCAAATCTTGTACATGACATGACTCGACGAATCACCAATCTTTCTCTTGCACTGTTCTCAACTTTAAATAATGAGCAGATTAACACACTTCCTTCCTAGCTTTCCTGCTATAATATTACGACTATGGCATCCAAACACAAAATTCATACGAGTTTTTGTTTCATGTCTGAATGTCACATTTGGCACATGTAAGAATTGATTACGAAAGAAACTCAAAGCCAAATCAACAATAGAATGGCGGATTAAAACTCATACAAGTTTCTTCTTCCATGTATGCCTCCATCTTACTACTTTTGAGAAGTGTTAGAACTAGGAAAATTACATGCCTTACTAATCAAAGATCGTCTTTGCCTATTACTTAAATTCTGTTCATAATTCTTAACTTAAACTAATTATAATATAAGCACACCTTTGTGATGCATCTTTGGAGCGAGGATCCTTCAAAGTAGATATATCAGAGAGATTCTCATTGAGCTTAGCGGTTTCCTCTGCATCAAAGACACCCAATACAAACTCCTGAACTACCTGTAAGACAAAACGACAGAAACTTCCAAGTCTTTACTACTAAACAGTTTACCATTAGATCATCACAAATAGCAGAGCATGAATTTACATTTTTAATTAACCAATAAACCATGACAGTTGCCCTCCTTATTCATAAGCTAAAAAAACAAGGTTCTTTAAGAGTATTAACATCAATCCCCCATTTTACGAACAAGGATTCGAGAATCACATAAAGAATGCATTAGGATGTGCTAGAAGAGACTACCTTATCATCCTCCAAATGAAATTGTCGTAGTGTTTTCTGGTAACAAAATTCATATGTCCACCAACCCTCTTGCTGCAAAAAGAAATTAACGATGCAAGGCCAACATGTTAATTGTTCATAACATAATCATCACATGGTTTACCTAAAAATGCACATAATTTGCCACAAACGACCAAAGTCTTAAATAGCTTCAGTGTTGAGCGCAACCAAAGACACCTTGTCTCACGTGAGGCAAGGCAACCTAAAAGCACAAACTTCACTTGCGCTACTTAAGCATATCATATATTTTAAATATATTTTATTTATAAAATTAAAGAAAATAACCAAGGAAGAAAATATCCTAAGTTCTTTAACTTTTTGTTGGGATGCCTGATTTCTCAAGGCACACATTAAAAAACACTGTTTACAAGATACAACTTTGTTTTTCTTTTGAGATGTGATATTAAAATGTAGATAAGATAGTCATCATATGCATGCAAAACAATATTCACCGATAAATCCTAACCCTGACAAAGCATTGCTCTTTTAATGCCTCAAGTAGCTCATCTGGAGTCTTCAATTTAACCCGCTTCTCAGATTCCATAATCATGCTAGTCATGTTCGGTAGAATAGCTGACTTTTCACTCTTGGATTTCTCCACCTTAGGCAAGTAACATAAGTAATTTTTTCCATTTTTTTTGGGCATAAACACAGATTCCTGGTCATCATCCTGCAAAGGCACAAAAACATAGTAAGCGCATATGGCATTGAACATACCTTCTTATTCTTAAATTCTGAATACAAATTGCTGAGAATGAGATCAAAGTTCCACATAAGCTAGAAAAGAGAAAAATCATGGGGATAAAAGTGAGAGGCGATATCTTCGTTGGTATGCGGACTTTTAGATGAAACCAAAAGCAAAGTCATGAGGGCTTATACTCAAAGTCGACAATGTCATACTATTGTGAAGATACATAAGAGTTTTGTTCTCCCTAACAAGTGGTTCAAAACCATGCTATGTCGGTAGAATCCTCGAGTGCCGAACAAATAAGCCTTCAAAGATATAATTATGATGGATATGTGATTGAGTTCTATCAGATAAGTAGTATGCTATGGTGAAGAGGAGTTGGACTGGTTAAGAGTTGGACGAAAAGATGGCTATTTGACAGGAGACTAAAATGCACTTTGTTTGAGGGGAGGATTGTTAAGAATGTGACAAAAGTTCAACAATGGCTAGATAAGAGGAAGATCATGATCAACATAGTCATGAAAATTTTTCGACATCGCGAATAGAATCTTGTTATACAAAACTTTTCAACAATGTTGTTTACCAAGCTATATCTTGGTGTAAACGGTGTAATATTTTTACTTTCTATAGTTATACCTCCCTCATTGCCAATGGGGAAGGTCTTTTGTAAACACCATGGATACTACATCTGTTTTGTAAATTTCAATCATAATGAACTTACCGGATTGTAAGGCGAGTCTTCTGGATGGAATTCAATATTGTATTTTGGCCCACGAGAGTTGCGACTAAATGTACCACCTGCTTATCATCAATCAGAAAGAACGAATAATAATATTTCATACTGATAAGTTATTGTCACAATACGCAAAAGTCATAAATGTAAAGATGGTTCACCGCACTACAGTTTGAGGTTTCAAGTTGTGTTAAACAACCTATGAAATATCAACCTCCGGTGGGACGAAATTCTACGATTTAGATTTCAGAGTTCACCTATTCCCATATGTGACACTTATTATCTAGGCAACTGCCCACAATTCAATCAAACATTGTTTGAGAAATGAATTTAAGAACTGGATTTTACTTCTGAAATTTAAAAATAGAAAATCATTTTATTCTGAAATCGATATCTATCCCTTCAAAATCACGGCAATCCCCACGACTTCTACAAATAATCGCGATCACAACTCAAAACGATCATTGCCAATAGGCCATCAATTGATCCAATAATCATGAATAAGTTCAAAAGAACCTCCCACCACCAGCATTATCCTTCGAAATCCAAGTATCATGTCCTCAATCAATCGGAAGCAAAAGACTCAGCACTTGTTAAAAAGTAAGATAGGCTGAAGACCATTTCTAAATACTGAATTCAAAACAAAAATAAATAAATAATAACCATATCACAAATTCCTCAATCGAGATTGTACGCATAAAACAGACATTTATTTTGAAACATTTCATGAAAAAGTTGAAGAGAGAAAAGACGAGGAGAAGAACTTCACCTAATTGAGCTGGGAAGATCTGGTCAGCAAACGCAGAGTAGCAAAAACTACCAGCTAGAAGAACCAGCCACATAAATTCCCTCATTTCTGTGTCCTCAAACGAACTCACAATGTTGAAAACGAGGGAAGCAAACTGGAAGGGTGAGGAATTACCAGCTGGGAGCGGAAGGACGACGACGGCCACAACGAGAGGAAGAAGAAAGTGGTGTCTTCGTAAACTCACTTTACGGCGTCGTATTGAAAGTGATCCACTGCCACGGAAGCTTGACCATTGAATATTTGCCACGTCATTAAGGAGCAGCGGATGGACTTTTCTCAACTAAATGGGCTGAGCCCAGTTTGATGGACCGTCGCGTCCATTCTAAGTGGGCTTTATTCATGGGCTATGCTTCGGCCCAGTTTTATTTTCTAATCTAAGATTTAATTTAGACTATTTATAGCAATTTTTACGTAATTCCATTTAAAATTAAATTAAGAAAAAAATATCTAAATAAAGTACGATAAAATAAAAGTTAGTATGTCTATCATATTGTAGCATTTCTCTATAATATTCTCTTAATTTTTTATTTTAAAGAAGTCTAATACGTCATTAGAATATATATATATATTCTTTTTTAACCTTTTTTTTTAGAGAGAGGTTTCTTAACGAGTAAGCTTACATATACTTTCTTTTTCTTAAAATATAATTTTTAAATTGCGATACTCTGTATAAATGAAAGGTAAATGATTGAATAGAATTACATTTGAATGAAAGATCTGATAATAGAATGATTAAAAAAAATTTTAAAAAATTGAAAGTTATTATTTATACTAATAAGATATATTTTTTTTTATGCTTAATTTTATAATTAGGCTTTTTTTTTTTAATTTTTTAAGAGGGTGTATAAATCTTTTCCATAATATATATATATATATATATATATATATATATAATTCAGTTTTATAGTTTCTAATATTGACTTAGGAGCTAAGGCAAAGCGCCAAGTGGGTGAATTCGTGTAAAGACGCCTAACAAGGGCTGAGACCAACTGGGCAACGCCGTTAGGTCTCACGGGCGGTAGGGGATTGCCGTGTACGTGGTGTCTGTTAGTTGACGGCGGTCGTTAATAGCTTTGAAATGTAGACTTCTGGGCCGGAGTGGGCCGTTCTGAAAGGCCCATTATAGTTCTTTGTGATTGTCGTAGCGGCAATCGCACATGGTATATTCTTTGCGCATGGGGACCGCTCAATGGCCGACATGGGAGGGTGGGATCCTGCAAAAACCCGTTTCCCACCACTATTTTATCCATATTTAAAAAAAAAAACAATAACTAAATTATAAAAAAATAATTATAATAATTGAAATTTTTGTATTTTACAGGGTTGGCTTTGATCGAATACGTATCACTATCCTCACGATTTTAAAATGTGTATTTAGAGAGGGGTTTTCGCATATTTGTAAGGAATCATTTGTTTTCCTCTCCAATCGATAATAGGATCTCACAATCCATCCCTTGGTGGTCTAGCGTTTTTGCTAGCATACCCTGTGTTTGACTATAATATCATTTGTAACAGCCTAAGATTACCGCTGTTAGATATTATTCGTTTTAGCACGTTACGTATCGTCGTCAACCTCACTGTTTCGAGGATGCTGAGCCTCTAAAGGGTGAACTATGAGACTCACATCGATTGAAGAGAGAAACAAAATATTTCTTACAAAAGTGTGGAATCCTCTTCATAGTAGATGCGTTTTAAAATTATGAAGCTGACTACGATATATAATGAGTCAAACTAGACAATATCTACTGGCGGTGAATTTATATTGATACATTTGTTAAAAAAAATATTTGAAGTTTGAAAGGGTAGATTAATAAATTTAAATTAAATTTTACCCTAAATTTATCAGTTAAAATTTATTAATTTCTCTAAAATAAATTTATTAAAAAGGAACTCATAAATTCTTTAAAAAAAATGTTTCGTATACTTATAATAAATTAAAAAAAAAAATTATATATATATATATATATTTATTTAATTAATGACATTTTTATAATATAATTATAGAATTGGGAACCAACGACCCGCCGTTTTCACAACCGGCGTTAACTAAAGACTTGGAGTTCACGGTAACGGGGGCCCACATATTTTTGAGTTCGGGTCAAACGGCAAACCTTGCAGGAATAAAATTTAAAAAATTTAAAAATTTAAAATTACAATAAAATAAAATGATATAAAAATTATTATCAGCTCAGCTTTGCTCAGAATTTTGTGGCGTCCACGACAAGTTGTTGGAAATCTTACTCATTACAAAAGTACAAACGGATTCTACGGTTGGTTTTCCATTTCATTTCGTTTGCTAGTAATATTCTGCCTCCTTCAGAACAAAGAAAATAAATAATTCTTCGTTGTTTCTTGCCTGGAGATTCCCCGGAATAATTTCAGAGATTGATTCGTTACTCTGATAAGTTTATCTTCCTAGATTTCTTGCATTTCTCGCGGATTATAATCGAAGTTTGTTTCTGCTTATGATGTATACTCTTTAGCTCTATCCGCTTGTTTCTTTCTTTCTGAATCGGATTCTGAATGAATGGTTAAAATTCCGATTCGGTGTTGTTTGAAGTTTCTCTGTTTTAGAAAGCTGAATTCATGAATAGAAGCCTCCGTTTGATTTTCAAGGGAATTTGAGGATCGTTCTACTCTCTTTTATTACAATTTTGGGGGTTTGGTGCAATTAGATCCTAAGCCCTTTCGTTTTCGTCTGCTTTACGCTTGATTTTCGGGTACTTTCTCGGTATTCGACTACAGGGGAGTTTGTTTTGGTAGATTTTAGGCAGTTTTTACTTGCAACTTCCTATGTACTGTGTTGATTTTTCTGGAAGGGTTTAAGAATTGTTTTTAGGGTTTGATTCTCTTTCTCTTGGACTAGTCTAGGTTAGTTGGTTTGGAACGATAGTTAAAGAAGTCTGTTCATCAGTTCTTGATTCTTCACTTCGTTGGATTTTTAATGGGGAAGCAAACTGGGAAGAAGAAGAAGCAGATTGGGGATAAATATCGGGAGGCAATATCGAAACGTCGTCAAGGTGGAGTTGGAAGTTCAAGTTATGATAAAGACCATGTTATTTTCATTACTATGTCTCAGGCTTTAAAGGAGGAGGGCAATAAATTGTTTCAATCTAGAGATGTTGAAGGAGCAATGTTGAAGTATGAAAAGGCCCTGAAATTACTTCCAAGAAACCATATAGATGTATCCTATCTTCGGAGTAATATGGCGGCATGCTATATGCAGATGGGGCTTAGTGAGTATCCCCAAGCGATTCATGAGTGCAATTTGGCTCTTGAAGTTACACCTAAATATAGTAAGGCATTGTTGAAGCGGGCTAGATGTTATGAGGCTTTGCATAGACTGGACTTGGCTTTAAGAGATGTTAATGCAGTTTTAAACTTGGAGCCTCGAAATATTATGGCGTTGGAAATATCAGAGAGACTAACAAAGGCACTTATGATGCAAGGATCAAAGGAAGACGATGCTGAGATCAAGCTGCCTCTTGATTTTGTTGAATTGCCTTCTTCATTGTTGCCGCAAGAAAGACCAAAAGAGAAGAACCGAAAGATGAAAAACAACCAAAAGACAAAGGAAACCATTGATGAGAAGAAGGCTCATGAAACAGTGGAGGAGAAGGCTGATGAAATAATTGTGGAAGAAGAGAAGGCCGATGAGACCGTGGAGGAGAAGAAGGCTGATGAAATAATTGTGGAAGAAGAGAAGGCCGATGAGACCGTGGAGGAGAAGAAGGCTGATGAAATAATAGTGGAGGAAGAGAAGGCCGATGAGACCGTGGAGGAGAAGAAGCCCGAGGATAAACTTGTTGTGGAGGAGAAAATCAACAGGACACAGGAGGAAACACCTATGAAATCTGTGAAATTGGTGTTTGGAGACGATATTCGATGGGCTCAAGTGCCAATTGATTGCACTCTATTGCAACTAAGGGAGGTTATTCAAGATCGTTTCCCGACCTGCACAGCAGTTCTTATTAAGTACAGGGATGAAGAAGGTGATTTGGTAACAATTACTGCTGATGAAGAATTACGACTGGCTGAAACATCTAAGGAGTCACAGGGTTCTGTTAGATTTTATATATTTGAAGTTAATCCAGAGCAAGATCCATTCTATGGAAGGTTCAAGAATGATGAGGATTCCAAGTGTAAAGTTGAAGAAAATAGCTATGTATTGAGAGCAAAAGAAATGAAGATATCATCTTGCATTGATGACTGGTTAATTCACTTTGCTCAGTTATTTATAAACCACGTTGGGTTTGAATCTGGCCCATACCTGGATCTCCATGACCTTGGGATGAAGCTTTATTCTGAGGCTGTGGAAGAGACGGTAACGAGTGAAGAAGCTCAGGGTCTTTTCGAATCAGCAGCAGAGAAGTTTCATGAGATGGCAGCCTTAGCACTCTTCTACTGGGGTAATGTTATCATGTCAAGGGCCAGGAAGAAGGTCTACTTCACAGATGGTGTATCAAAAGTATCTTTGTCTGAACAAATCAAAGCTGCGTACGATTGGGTCGAAAAAGCATACGTCGAAGCAGGAAATAAATATCAGATGGCGGTGAAAATCAAGCCAGACTTTTATGAAGGCTATCTAGCACTAGGACAGCAACAGTTTGAGCAGGCAAAGCTTTCTTGGCATTATGCAGTTAGCAGCAATGTTGATCCAAAAACATGGCCTTGTACGAAGGTTATACACCTTTATAACAATGCCGAGGACAATATGGAAACAGGCATGAGGATGTGGGAAGAATGGGAAAAGCAGCATACCGCCGAACTCTCTAAATCGAGTGATGTTGAAACCCCGTTGCAGAAGATGGGGTTAGATGGACTAATCAAGGATATATCAGCTGATGAGGCTGCAGAACAGGCCAAGAATATGAGGTCTCATATAAACCTCTTATGGGGCACCATGCTCTACGAGCGATCGATATTGGAATTTAAGATGGGGCTGCCATCATGGCATGAATGCCTAGAAGTTGCAGTTGAGAAATTTGAGCTTGCTGGAGCTTCCGCAACTGATATTGCAGTTATGATAAAGAACCACTGTTCAAGCAACAACGCACATGAAGGTACAGTTTCAAATATATTCATGTTTAGAAGCTGTCTGTGCATCAGGTGACTTCATTTTCATCTCATCATTCTGTGCTAATCTTTTTCTTATCTTCTCCAATTACAGGTCTTGGGTTCAAAATTGAAGAGATTGTTCAGGCATGGAAT